GGGAATGATGAGGGCAACAAATGTATAGATGTGCTTTACACAATTGATCTATGTATTGTGATGAATTGTATGAGCCCCAATAAATTGATTAAAAATTTTAAAAAAAATAGACAAGTCAAGCACACCTCCATCCTCAAAGTGATTCCCTCCCTCTTCTTGTGCCGCAGACTCCCCCAGTGCAGTGCGTCCTTGATCTTCTGCCTGCTGCTTCCAGGGCGGTAGCGAAAGGCTAACTGCCATTAAAGCGCCACCACTAACAGCACAGTGTCCACGTTTCCACAGAATGAAAGGGCGTCTTCTTTCATTGCAGCCCTCTGCCGCACACATACATTCAGTCAGTGAGGGGACCCGGCTCCCCACACCTTGACCTGTGGGAGAGTCCCTGGCTGCTTCTTCACGGAGCGGAGGGAGTGGTGGAGAGGGAGAGCCACTGCCTGCATGTCAGCCTCGCTCAGGTTCTCCGGGAGCTCCTCGGCCCTGCAGATACAGGCCAGCCCACGCTATGAGCAGAATGCTTGCTGAGAACCAGCTTCAGGTGGTATTTTCACTGCTTTCTTGAACTCTTAAGCTTTGAATATTTCAATTTCATTGAAATGTTTTAAGTCCACAAAGGAAAAGCAGGAACCCTTTGAAGAAGACGCAGACAACTTAGTCATAAAACTCACTGGTTTAAATTATCTTGTCCTTGATGTGACGTTCAGGCCCCCCCACCACCACCACCCCCGGTAAGGCTCAGCATGCATGTGATCCCCAAACTGGGTGGGAATGACGCTTGCTTGTCTGTCCTCATGGCCAGCCAATCCCCTGAATCCCTCTCTTATCTGATCCTCAGTCAGAGGTGACACACAAACAGGATACTGCCCTGCAGGATGTCAAGGTACTGGTGACAATCTTAGGGAGGCCACATGCTGCCCTATCTTGCTGGCTCACTGGTCAAGAAGCTGGGGCTGTGTCTCTCCAGGATGCCAGATGAAAGCTTCATAATTCATACGGAGCCTTTACTTTGTGACCTGCTGGTGCCTGCTACCTGTTTTGGGTCAAGGATCCTCAGGAATGACTCACAGGACCCCATTCCAGAGCGTAGACTGTCCGCACACACTTAACAGCTATTGTTACAGCCACAAAGGATGGGAACAGGGAGAGTCGGGGCTAGGTTTGCATAGTTCCCGGCCCAGGGGACACACTGTCCTCCTGAGAGCAGATATTCTCCTTGACCCAGAAACTCCGCAAGCCCTAGTGTTCAGGGATTTGATCAGCCTATCCTTTACAATCCACTAAATGGATGCCTCTGGAGCATGGTTCATACCGGCCTCACAAGTGGGTCTGGCCAACCTCCCCCCTTTTACCAGCAGATTCTCACGTGTGCCCTGG